GTTTGGTTTAGTGTATTAAAAAAATTTAGTATATAAATTATAAGACTATAGGGAATATGTGTTTGGCTACCTTTCAAACGGAAATTGAATTAAATTGGTCAATTTGTTCCTTCATTAGTTTATCCAACACTGTTTAAGATTACTTAGAGTTCACAAAAAAAATGTACATTGTCTTTTAATAGCAATCCAATTTGGGATGTGTAAAGGTTAATAATACTTTATAGTACTACTTAATACTTTATGGGTGTTGATGAGTTTTTGTTTTTGTAATTTGTTTGTTGCAGCTACTACTGCAAGGGAGTTGTTGAATTTTACTCAAGTGAATGGAAAACCTATGAGGATAATGTTTTCTCATAGAGATCCTAGTTTGAGGAAGAGTGGGTATGCTAACGTGTTCATTAAGAACCTGGACTCGTCGATAGATAACAAGGCTTTGCAGGACACTTTTGGTGCCTTTGGAACAGTTCTTTCCTGCAAGGTAGCTGTTGATAGTAGTGGTCAGTCAAAAGGCTATGGTTTTGTACAGTTTGATCAGGATGAAGCTGCACAGAAAGCAATCAATCGACTAAATGGTATGTTAATAAATGATAAGCAAGTGTATGTTGGCTACTTCATTCGTGGTCAAGAAAGGAGAGGAAATGTTTGTGATAAATTCACAAATGTTTATGTGAAAAACTTACCAGAATCCACTAGTGATGAAGATCTCAAGAAACTTTTTAAGAAATACGGCACCATCACCAGTGCTCTAGTTATGACAGACTCTAGTGGGAAATCCAGGGGTTTTGGGTTCGTGAATTTTGAGACATGGGATGCTGCAGCCTCTGCAGTTGAAGAACTGAATGGTCATTCTTTGAATGACAAGGTTCTGTATGTTGGCAAGGCACAGAAGAAATCAGAGCGGGAAGCAGATCTTAGAACCAAATTTGAACAAGAACGAGCTAGTCGATTTGAGAAACTAAAAGGTGCTAACTTGTATTTGAAAAATCTCGATGACAGTGTGAATGATGAAAATCTGAAAGAATTATTCGTAGAGTACGGAACCATAACATCCTGCAAGGTATGTGCCTGATTTGTTGATTTTATTAAGTACATATCATCTGTGGAAAAGTTTGTTTTAGTGTTTCATATCAATTTGAAATTATTATTAGGTGATGCGCGATGCAAAAGGGAGTAGCAAGGGTTCTGGATTTGTTGCCTTCTCCACCCCAGAGGAAGCTACACGAGCGGTAAGTTGTTCAAATTATCTAATCTACCTTGTGTTACTTGCTTTTAAAAAGACAAATATATGTATGCATAAATTGTTTTTATTATTGTTTCAGCTGAATGAGATGAACGGCAAGTTGATAGGAAGAAAACCTTTATTTGTCGCTGTTGCCCAGCGCAAGGATGAAAGAAGAGTGTGGCTACAGGTATCGTATACTCGATTTTTTCTCCTAAGATTCAAGTTATAGTTGCTTCAATGTATTGGATTCTAGTTAGAGTTCACTCGAGAGTCTGCTCTAAGCACACACATCTTTCTTAAATTCACAAATAATACATTGTATTATGGATGTTCATTGCATAATTTGATGTTTATTTGTTAGCAGACACATTTTGCTCGGATGCGACCAACTGGGCTAATGACTCCTCCTCCTGGAGGTATGGCTGGGTATCACACTGGGGCACCTCGACTTGCACCTCCGCAGGTCTACTTTAGTCAAGGTGTAGCAACTCAAGCTGCTGGATTTGGCTTCCAGCAACAATTTATGCCCGGACTTCGTCCAGGTGTTGGTCCGAATTTCTTTTTGCCCTATCAGTTTCAGCATCATCAAGGACAGCACGGACGTATTGGTGGAAGGAGAGGAGGATATCCTCAACAGCAGCATCAGGTGCATATTCTTTCATTTTATTAAGTTCATACATCATTTTAATATAGGACGTATTCACACTGTCTTCAGTCAAAATACACGTTTCAGTTTCAATTATTGATTCAATCTCTTTGTACAAAGTTGAGTTGTTAAAGCTTTAATTTATTAATCTATGCAGTGGAACTCTGGTCGATTCAATCCGAATAGACGAAATGGCATGCATCCTAGCATCCCTCAAGGTATGATGGGATCAATTATGCGAGCGCCATTTGATGCTTCTTCTGCTATGACAACTCCTCCCTTGGACATCCAACACTCTAACCCAGTGCCACCGTCAACACTTGCTTCTTCTTTGGCCTTTGCTTCTCCAGAAGATCAGCACGCGGTACGTCCTTGATTTTAGTTTCACTTCTTTTCTCCCTGCTGATTTTATACGTCAAACTTGAGCTACTTGTTCCTTGTTTCCCAATGCTTAACTATGGTAAGGGTGTTGTAGATGCTTGGAGAGCAGTTATTTCCACTAGTGGAACACATTGAACGCGATCATGCTGGTAAAGTTACTGGAATGTTGCTTGAGATGGATCAGACTGAGGTGCTTCATCTCATTGAGTCCCCCGATGCTCTTAAGGAGAAAGTCTCCGAGGCTATGGATGTTCTTCGCGTGGAGCCAGCTAGTGTTGGTGATAAATTTGGATCGCTCACCCTGAATGAATGAAGCAAATATTGGCACAATGTCCCTAAATTGGCCCGTATTTTGGAAGGGGTGATGGTGGTGACTTAGGGAGTCTGGTCTTCTTATGGTATTTAATGACATTCTTTGTAGGCTTAAGATTTTAGCAAAGAGAGCTTCTTCTAGGAGTTTACTTTGCTCTTTGCTTACGCTTTAATTTTATTTTTTTGTTACTTTCTAGACTTGTTTGCAATTTATGGATTTGTTTTGTTTTGACTACAATTCTGTTTTCAGCACTCGATTTTTTGTAACATTTAGCATAGTTTAACATATCTTATAACCCTTTAGCACCTGAATTTGTAACATCTAGCATATATTAACATGGCCTAACCCATCCATGGCTCTAGGGTGTCAAAAAAATATGAAAAACTGATCGAACTGTCCCAAATCGATTTATATAATTTTTTTAAATAAAATCGTAGATTTTTATTTAAGTGTATATCGTAGCAAACAATTGAGATGGTCTTTTTAATTTATAAAAGAAAACCAAAAAATTTCCGAACATGTATGCAAATATATTAAAATATTAACAATATATTAAATTTTATTTAAATATATTTTCTAACATTTTTTAAATATAAATATAACCTAGGTCTTTGCCTCTTGTGACTTCTTTAATTAGTCTTGAATTAATAAGGTTTTACTATAATATAAATCATCAAATAATATGGCAAAACCTATGCAAACACTCCTAAGAAGATTTTACATTCTTAGCTTCTTGGTGAAGAATTGAAGTGCTTTCTAAAATACACACATGGGAAAAAAAATATTTTAATCATTGTTAAATAATGAAATTATATGAGGGATGGCTATTCCGTAATGTATGTATGATACACTCGCCAATGACATGTAAACTATCCAATTAAATGACAATATTTGTCATTTGTGCCCCAAATCATTGTTAAATAATGAATTTTTAGAAAAACAAAAAGTAGCCAATACATCGATGACACATGACATTTTTGCCCATATAATTACAAAAAAAAAATATATAACCAATTAAAAAAAATATTTTGCAGCTTAGTTCATCAGGCATAAAGTTTTTTCAACTTGTACATAAAAGTTATGATATTTATAATATCCGTAGAAATCTTAAACTTTAAATTGAAATTCTTACAAAAAAATATTCAATGTGGTCTTCAATTGAAATAGCTTAGAAGAAAGTAACCCACCAAATGACTCCTCACACAACAATAAATTTTATTACACAGGAATAAAGCTAAGTCATGGATTCAGATTCTTCTTAATCAATAACAAAGCAGTAAAGCTAAATTGAAATCATTAGAATTAACTGAAAAAAATAAGAAGGCATGAAAAATCAAATCCACTTCCATATGACAATATCAAATTCCTCCAAAAAAGAATTTCATCATTATTTTAATATTTAAATCTTGAAATACGTCTTTTCTTAAATTTTAAAACATTCGCCATGGATGGAGTTAAGCTTGAAAAATGGAGGCTGAAAATGGGGAAGAAGATGAAAAAATAATTAAAAATTAACTAAATAAGATTTTCACGCGCAATAAACGAGTGTATCACACCCTCTGACGTGTACGCAAAGAGTGTCAAAATGACACAATAAAAAGTGTCTAAAATAAACAAAGTCTAGTTAAGGTGTCTAAGTAAAAGTTGGTGTCAACTTTAGGGGGTCACCGATGGGTTAGACCTTTTAACATTTATGTAGTCTAATGTGCCAAGGACATGACTAGTGCCGGCAAAATGAGTCCATATTTTGGTAACCTACCCAACCCGCCCATATTTTAATGGGTTGGGTGAGTGACTTTTTACATGGGTAAAATATGGGTTGATACCCATATTCAACCCATTAAACTATGGATAAAATATGGATTAGCCAAATGAGTTAAGTTTCTATAATTGAAAAGGTGAAGTCTTTGGCCCTCCAAAAATATATATTTTAAATGTACATTTCTTTTTGTTAATTATAATTATATTTTTTTATTTATTTAATTTTATAATGGATAATAAATAATAGTGTAAAATAAGCAAATCATGTATTAGTATTGACATTGCTTAAAGTGCATTAAGCATGTTTCAGTCTAAAAATGCAACTATTCATTTACTTTGAAATTAAAAATATTTTCCCCTTGTTATTACATAAATTTATTTTATATTGAAAAGTTAGGATTTTTTTTTTTTACTTTTATGATACAATAAAACTAAATGGAGCATTTTCAACATTTTTTATCTAAAAAAAGATTATTTTTTTTTTTGTCCATGTTGAATTCTTAAGTAAATCATGAAAATATGGGTAAACTAGTATTTTACCCAACCCATATGTTACCCAATCAATTTTTACCCATATAAAATATGGGCGGGTTGAACTATTACCCATTTTATGTCGACCCATTTTCAACCCGCCCAAATTTGGCCCAACCCACTCATTTGCCACCACTAGACATGACAAAGGTCGTTGATCCTAAACATCATCTGTTGGTAAGGAGTGTGTTATGTCTGGCCCTTCTTTAGCAGGGTTAATTGACATTGTGAATGTATTTTACTTTGAAGCCTTTCAAGCATTTCCTCTTCTCCTTTTCATGTCGAGAACTTTCTGTATTGGGCGGCTTCGTAGTCATAGTTCAAGCTAATACATGTCTTACAGTCCACTGCATTAAGACAGTGTATAAAAAAGATACAACACTAAGTCAAACGAAACCACTCCCTTGCTGTCAGCCCATAGTACACTCCTTCGAAATAAGTCTAGAGAAAATCGGGGTGGATTTCTTCGTCATCTAGTCTTTGATCCTTCAATGAGGTCTCAAAGGTATTGCCACTCCATTTGTTGACATCAGATGTGGATCCTCTCCCACTTGCAAACTGCGAGTGACAATCATCTTCATCTTCAGTTATGTACTCGGTCCATTTGGAGACTTTGTTGGTTGTGTTTGGATGACTTCTCTGTTCTGACTTGCTATAACCAAGATTTCCTTCACCATTTATATAATTGTCATGGTCATATCGGTTGATATCTTCATTTAATTCAGACGTGAATCCTCTCCCACTAGCAAACTGCGAGAGACAATCATCTTCATCTTCAGTTATGTACTCGGTCCATTTGGAGACTTTGTTGGCCGTCTTTGTCTGACTTCTCTGTACTGACTTTCTATAACCAAGATCTCCTTCATTTCTATAATTGTCATTGTCATATAGGTTGATGCTTTCATTCAGTTTGCAAACACTGTCTGCTGCTGGCTGAACAGACACGTCTAGTGGCGTTGTTCTATTATCTCCCCACTTGGAGATCACCGATGCCATTGTTGCCTGATGTTTGCTTGGCTCAACATCTGCAAGTCAAGGTTCCAATGTTGAGCTCCTCGCTCTACCTCTCTTTTTTCAATAGTATATAGAAATGGTAGGCATTAGGAGTGAATGAACTACTCGGGGAGAAAGGGGCTACCTCTTTACGGGTTTTTAACACAAAACAGGCTTACTGAAATCCCAAAATGCAGTTTCCCAACAGGAAAATTGGATAAAAACAGTGAAGGTCTTTGTAAGACGCAACTATGATCATCTACATTCTCAAAATACCAACTCAACAAATTGCTTTTACACCTGCCAATTGCTATATGCACTCGAAGCTCTTCATACCTTACTCGGTATGTTCTGTAATCATCGGACAGGTACTGGGAAACTACTCGGTAAATATCCAACTCATCTGATTCCAAAATCACTCATCCCTCCTACCTCGTATTCATGGTTAGGCACTAAAATAGGGGGATCAAGGACAGGTTCTACAAGTTGGAATTGAACTAATTGCTTTTGGCTCGAATTATGCATAAATATATAGAATCACACTCGTTTCACGAATCCACTAATTCTAGATTCTGAATTACTCTATGTAAGAGGCCATCGAGGTTACCTGTGTTTTGTGCATTCCGGTAACCTTGAGATATGCTTTGTTTTCTGGCATTCCGCTTTGAGAAAACTGGTTTGAAATTACCTGCAACAGCAGAGTAGTTGTTCAACCTAGACCTTCTGAATAACTCTTTGGGTAACTGCGTCACAATCTTCGGCTCCATAACATCTCCTGCATTTCCAGATCGAACAATTCAAAACCTAAAATATCAATCCAAATAAAACTTCATCAGACTCTTAAATCTTCAGAACTATAAGAAATTTAAGTTACCTGAAATTTCATCATTTTCAATTGCATCTTCTTCTGGATCGAGATACTCTGTCCAATCCTTTCTCTTCAAACTTCCATGACTTTGATTCTGCTCTTCAATATCTAGGGTTTCAATTTCTTCTCTGTCTATCACAGGCAATTGATCCGTAAATTGGCGAGACATATTGAAACTCTGAACAAATAGGCGAATTTCCTTAGCCTTATACCCCTGGGCGAACACTTTCCGAACAGACTGTTTCTGATTACAAACCACGCAGGTCCATTTGTTGCTACTCTTCTTCTGCTGCTTTACCTGAAAAACCTCGATTTCTCGTTACTGCATCATTATCTATGTACACAGAGAAAGATAGATAGATACCTGCATGGTGGAGCATTCACAACACTTAACGGCGATGAATACCGTCGGCATCCTTCCGACGCCGGAGATTGTTTTCCGTCAAAAGAGTGATATAATACCGAACTGGCGGGGAAATGAGACTTCAAAATTTGGGTTTCTAACTTGGCCCGCCCAAAATATGGGCTCAAATGTATATTTGATTATTATTTGAAAACTCGAGATATACGTTTCAATTTTTTGAAATTTGAGTTTGACTTACATGATGTAGAATATAGGAAAAATACATTATAATTTTGTAATCTTAAACGTGTCATGTGTAAAATTATAATTAAAGAGTTATTAAGAAGGAGTGAGACATTCTTTTTCAAACGAACTAAAAAAGAAAGTAAGACATACAAATTGAAACCAAGAAAACGTCAATTTTATTTACGTAAGCAGTGCAATATTGGCTAAACTTTGAGGCGAGTAAATCTAATAACTAAAATTTTGGGATGTCTTGTGGAG